CCGCCCGGCCCCGGGCCTGGTCGGATTGCAATCCGATCTTGCAAAACATTTCAGGAGGTGGTCTGAGATGCATTCCAGATGCAACTGGACAAGTGTAGCCTAAATGCATCTGGTTGTTGAACAACATATTAATTTTACCACAGTGCTAATGCAACACGCATCTCCACAGATATGACCCATCATAGATGAACGTCTCTCTACAGCAAGCAAACTGCCTCAAACTGAAAGTTCGGTGTCGCATCCAGGGGCTTAAAACACTAATAAAATGTAGTGAGACCAGAGGCGCCACTAGCAATTTTGGGTCCTATGAAAGAAAATGAGGTCGGGCCCCCTACCGCACCAAACATACAAGCCAACCTAGTTATCCAAAATCTTTGTCTGCAATTTAATAATAATGACTGTAGTATCTTGAGATACGGAAAAAAGGAAACACAGAGGAGCCAAAAGTTCTCGATGGTCACTTTACTGAGGACCCATCGCAGCATTTAGACCTACACACCAGCATGGCAATAGTGCGCACACAATGCGCTTCTTCACGGCCTTTAAATAGTGCACCAACCCATATACAATGCGTGACCGCCCCCTGCTGGACAAATCTCAATGTGCACATACAACACTCCTCCCCGCTTAAATCCAAAAACAATTTTTTTCTCCAATCAACAAACTTGAGGGGAAAACATTGTTCACATACAAGACAATTTTCAATAAAGTGCAATTTCAAAATTTTGCAACTGTCTGTGCAGTTTTCTTTTTCAAAGTCCGACTATTTTTTTTTCCATCACAAAGTCCTTTAAGTGTGCTAGTAATTTTTACATCACAAAGTATTTTAAGTGTGAGGGTCTTAGACCCCCAGTAGGTACAATTTCAGGGTTTTTTTACTTCTGCAATTGATGTCACTTCAGGAATGGTAGGAGCACTAGATAACTCGGACAACAGCCTACTGGAACATTCAGTTTGCAAATTTTCGAGCTCCTTTTGCTGAGGAGTAACATCCAAAGTTGGTATTAGGGGAGTACTGGGTGATTTGGGCTCTTGAACATCAGTATCCTGAGACCCAATTTCAGCATCACATAACTGAACATCCATGCTCGGTTGGTAATCAGTTATCATTTCTTTTTGTTGGTGACTAAATAATTGATCTACATGACGTCGCACAATTTTATCATTCCCCAAAGCTACTGTACAAGATACAGGTCCTGTAATGTCCTGAATTACTCCATGCACCAATTTTGGTCCATACCCAAAGTTTCGGGTATACACAGGATCTCCAATCTGGAAATAACGAGATTTCACATGTTGATCATGATACTCTTTCTGAACTTGTTGTTTCCTTTCCATTTTACCAGTGAAGTCAGGATGTATCTTGTCAAAAGTGCAACGCAATTTTCTTCCCATCAGCAATTCAGCAGGAGACAGTCCCGTTATAGACTGGGGTGTGTTACGATAATTAAACAGAGCTCTATGTAACTTGGTCTCCAGAGTGTTCCCCAAACTTTTTTTCATTAGGGTTTTGAAAGTTTGAACTGCTCGCTCTGCCAAACCAATAGATGATGGGTGATACGGTGCAGAAATAACATGGGTTATTCCGTTCTTAGTCATAAAGTCTTTACTTGCTTCACTTACAAAACATTGGGCATTATCAGACACTATCATTTCAGGAATCCCATGTACACTGAAACTTTTTCGCAAACACTCCAAAGTAGCTGCTGTTGTTGCTGAACTCACAGGATAGGCATCAATCCACTTAGAATGAGCATCAATGATAATTAAGAACAATTTCCCTAGAAAAGGGCCTGCATAATCCATATGAATTCTCCTCCACGGTTGTCTGGGCCACTCCCATGGGTGAAGTGGGACCCTCACAGGGGATTTTCGCTGTACTTGACAGACAGTACAATCTCTTACTCGAGTTTCAATATCAGCATCCAGATTCGGCCACCATAGGTAGCTCCTTGTCAAACCTTTTATCTTGGACATGCCTGGGTGGGATTGATGGAACTGTTCCAACAAACCTGAACGTCCCTGTTCTGGAATAACAACACGCACTCTCCACAGCACACATCCGTCCTGAACACTGAGCTCTTGCTGTCTCTGTTTATAAGGTACAAATTCCTGGGTATCATTGTGATCAGGCCAGCCTTTAAGCACATACTCATGTACTCTTGACAAAACAGGGTCTTTACAAGTCCAGTGCTTAATTTGCTCTGTGGTCGTCAAGGGACCAGCTACACTCTCCAACATCAAGACATGCTCTTCCTCTGGTTCTTCCTCAGAAGGTTGTGAAACTGGAAGACGACTGAGAGCATCAGCATTACCATGACCTTTACCCGCTCTGTAAGAAATGACTTATTCATAGGCTCCCAACATTACTGCCCACCTCATAATTCGTTGAGATGCCATTTGAGGTACAGCTTTTAATTCATTCAATAAACTGAGTAGAGGTTTGTGGTCAGTACAGATTACAAATTTACAACCATACAAGTATTTGTGGAATTTCTTGACTCCAAACACAACAGCTAATCCTTCTTTCTCTAACTGGTAGTAGTTCTTCTCTGCAGCTGTTAGTGTTCTGGATACAAATCCAATAGGTCTTTCCGTTCCATCCCTCATACGATGTGCTAATATGGCCCCCACACCGTATGCTGAGGCATCACAGGAAAGGATGAGTTCTTTTTTTTCATCATAGTGGATCAAGACACGATTAGATTGCAACAACCCTTTGGATTTCTGGAAGGCTTTTACTTGGTCTTCTTCCCAACACCAACAAACATATTTCCTCAAGAGCCTATATTCATAGGCTCCCAACATTACTGCCCACCTCATAATTCGTTGAGATGCCATTTGAGGTACAGCTTTTAATTCATTCAATAAACTGAGTAGAGGTTTGTGGTCAGTACAGATTACAAATTTACGACCATACAAGTATTTGTGAAATTTCTTGACTCCAAACACAACAGCTAATCCTTCTTTCTCTAACTGGGAGTAGTTCTTCTCTGCAGCTGTTAGTGTTCTGGATACAAATCCAATAGGTCTTTCCGTTCCATCCCTCATACGATGTGCTAATACAGCCCCCACACCGTATGCTGAGGCATCACAGGAAAGGATGAGTTCTTTTTTTTCATCATAATGGATCAAGACACGATTAGATTGCAACAACTCTTTGGATTTCTGGAAGGCTTTTCCTTGGTCTTCTTCCCAACACCAACAAACATCTTTCCTCAAGAGCCTATGCAAAGGAGCAAGCAGGGTAGAAAGATTTGGAAGAAATCTGTTATAAAAATTCAACAAACCCAAATAGGCTTTCAGTTCCGTCACTGATGTCGGATGTTGGTGCTTCCTGTACAGCTTGAACTTTCTCTGGAACAGGATTAATACCTGTGGCATCAACTTTATGGCCCAAGAAAACAAGTTCCTTTTCCATGAACTTACACTTCCCTCTTTTCAGTCTTAATCCAGACTCCTCCAGCCTCTGCAATACTTTATCCAGTGTCCCCAGATGTTCTTGATCATTTTTTCCTGTCAACAGAATATCATCCAAATATACCGTGACTTTTGGAATGTCCTTCAGGATTCCTTCTATAGTTCTCTGGAAGATTGCGGGGGACTTGAACTCATCCAAAGGGTAATCGTGTATACGTAAAGAGACCTTTGTGAGTATTTACAGTGACATATTGCTTCGATGTTTCATCCAACAAAATCTGTTGATATGCATGACTCATATCTAATATGGTGTATTTCTCACCTCCAGATAACACTGCAAATATATCCTCCATTCGGGGAATGGGATACTACTCCAATGATGATTCCCAAATTAACAGTCACTCTATAATCTCGACAGAGTCTCACTGATCCATCTGGCTTCAACACCGGCACGACAGGAGCTGCCCACTCTGAAAATTTCACAGTTTCAATGATATGTTCTTTAATCAGCCGATCAAGTTCAGCTTCCACCTTCTCTCTCATGGCAAAAGGTAATGAACGTGATTTTAAAAAATGAGGTTTTGCACCACTGGTTACATGAATTTTGGCTGTGGCTCCTTTTAATGTTCCCAGTTCTTCTTTAAAAACAATTTCATGTTTCTTTAAAATGTCTTGCAACATCTCTGAGCTTGTTTGGATTTTATTCACCTTTTCCCAGCCAAGTTCCAACTCAGCAAGCCATGATCTTCCCAACAAGTTAGGACCAGATCCTGCCACCACCACAACTGAGAGGTCTTTAACTAATCCGTTATGCTTGACTTTAACTTTGCTGGTTCCTAGAACATTCACTGATTGGCCTGTATATGTCTTCAAATTAAGAGAACTTGGTTTCAATTCAGGCAGTTTTTCCTTAACTTCAAGTTTGCCATAATTCCACCTGTGACAACACAGTTACACTACATCCAGTGTCGATTTCGAATTTCACAGGACACTCATTGTTACGATCTGTTATGTATGCATATTAATTTGTTTGTGTTTTTCACTAGATCTTGATTGGTCTCCCTTTCTGTCACTCATTATGGGTTCTGCTGTCTTCGTTGAAGCCTCCCCGCCGAAAGTATAAAAGGCGATGTCTTATCCGTTTTCGGAAGAGGCTGGGCTGGGCTGTGTTTGTGTGCCTCTTTGAAATGATTGTAGCTTTAAGTATGCTTGCTTTGTTACCCTTTATGTTGTTTATTTGTCTTATTCTTTATTTTACCCCATGTATTTAGGTTTGTTATTCGATTTGAGCGTGGAGTGTGTCCATGCTCTTTGCTCACTTGTTGAGAAGAGAGCAGTATAAGATGTCACGTGACATACATCGCGCTTCACGTAGTTTATGTTGATGTATTAGTTCATTAGTTTAGGAGTGTTGCCACCCGCTGTAAGTTTTGGTTTAGTAGTTAGAGTAGTTAAGTTAGAGCGTGCGAGTAGCACGCTGAAGATGTTGTTTTGAAATTTATTTTGATTATTCTAGGTTAGATTTAAATTCTTTAGTTAGAAGAATTTTGTTTTAATTTGTTCTTTGATTTGGCAACACTCGTGCTCTCTTTTGTGTGCCTCTTTGAAATGATTGTAGCTTTAAGTATGCTTGCTTTGTTACCCTTTATGTTGTTTATTTGTCTTATTCTTTATTTTACCCCATGTATTTAGGTTTGTTATTCGATTTGAGCGTGGAGTGTGTCCGTGCTCTTTGCTCACTTGTTGAGAAGAGAGCAGTATAAGATGTCACGTGACATACATCGTGCTTCACGTAGTTTATGTTGATGTAACTCTTTTCACATGTCCAATTTTGCCACACACATAACATTTTTTTTTGGCAAACTTACAGTCTTTCGACATATGGTTAGTTCCACCACATCGATAACACATTCCTGCACCCTTTAAATTACTTATTTCTTCAGAGTCCATCTTGAAAACAGTAGTACTCACGCGATTTCCTTTCTCTCTGTGCAAATCTGCCATATCCTTATTTGCAGTTTCAATAGCCTGAGCTTTCTTCAGTGCAGTTTCAAACATTAATCCATCCTCAGCCAGTAATCTCCGTTGTATGCTGTCATCATTAACACCACACACTAATCTGTCTCTCAGCATAACTGTAAGTGTGTCTCCGAAATTACAATCTTGTGCAAGTTTTCTTAATTCAGCCACATACTATGCTTTCATCATGGCGTCTGTTTCTTGAATTAAACGTCCACCTCTATCTTCCACTATTTCACTTGGCTTTGGATTAAAGTGGTTTTTCAGTAAACTCACCAATTCTTCAAAACTCTTTGCACCTCAATGTGTACGTCTGCCCTCCAACACAACTTAACAATGGTTCGTTTCTTCTCTGTGCTTTCAACATCATTTGCCACGAAGAAATGATTCAATATTTCACAATACTCTTCCCATGATTGTGACTTACTATCCAAAATCCTAATATTAAACAGCCCAAACACTTATAGATGAACATACAAATGAATGAAGACAGTGTTATATAAGAATGAATATGTATTTGTGCTTTTGTGATTTTAGCTCAATATTTTTTTCTTTAATATTTGTATTATTTTAAGGGGATATTTCTAAATATTAACCTCTAAATTATGCACCATTTATCTTCTGCAATATCAGGGTGTAACCTCTAGATGGCTGTATAGCCCTATATATAAATAAACATAAACCATTTGCTGCAGAGTAAGAACTTAAGACATAAAGCACCTTACTTGTATCAGGTTATTCATTGATATATTTTCAGACATTATTAAAGACTACATTCAGTAAAAGTTGAAATTTAAATGTTGATATGAAGTGTCAGTTATTATTATTGTAGTCAAATCTGGACAGAGAAAGCATTTTGTTAGGCTACTAGCTACAGCGTGATCAGTCACACAAAAGTAATCAGAATAAATATTGGCTCAGTGTGACCAGAGCAATATTTTTAACTGTGTGTATGTGCTGTACATGTGGAAGAATTGACAATAAAGCAGACTTGACTTGACTTGACTTGATATAAACCGTTTGCTGCAGAGTGAGAACTTAAGACATAAAGCACATTACTTGTATCAGGTTATTCATTGATATATTTTCAGACATTAAAGACTACATTTAGTAAAAGTTTAAATTTAAATGTTGATTTGAAGTGCGAGTTATTAAATCTGGACAGGGAAAGCATTTTGTTAGGCTACTCATTAGTCAAACTAGCTACAGCGTGATCAGTCACACAAAGTTTAAAAGGGGCTATGTATCGATACTCGAAACCACGATCAGCAATGCAGTTATGGCTGGCAGCAAGACAGCAACGTAATGACATCATATAATTAAAAAAGACACCTGACGAAAAACTAGGGAATAATTCCATAATTTCGTTTTATTTGTAACTCTTTGGTAGATACATTTATAATTTCTATTGCATTACTACCAGTACTGTTACTGCTAATAAAACAGATCTCTGGGGGCCCCAAAAGTGCGTGGGCCCTTAGAATCGTCCTAACTTAACAGATGTCCTGTCCAGGCAGAAAATTACCAGCATCTTTTTACTTTTCTACTGATTTTTTTTTCCAGTGTAGAATTATTTATGACAACAGCCTAAAATGATACCTAAATATCTAGTTTAGGCTATTGTTTAATATTAACCAATAACCTGTTCAGCCTAGATGATGTCATCTGAAAAAAAAAAGTTGTTTCAGAGGCGGAACAAGTCATTTTTGATGAATTGTGAACAATAAGTCCAAGCATTTGTATTTAGAAAGTAAATAGGGTCAATTTTTGTTTCATGTTGATATTATAGAGACTACATGTCTCAAGCAACAGCAGTATTTCAGTGTAAGTGTTAAACCAATGGATCAACAGGAATCTCTGAGCTTTAGCTTAACATTAGAAGTGATCTTTAATTTGGCAAACTTCTCAAACAGCAGTCATGATGTTCAGATGGGTTGTCTTTTACTGCTGTGTACAGGTCAGCAATCTGGTGAATGCAACAAGGATAGAGAGAAAGAGT